TATAGGAAGCCTATCAGGCTAGCTCGCACAATAAACAGAGCCAGAGAAACAGGCTTGGGCAGAAACCCAGAAAGGCAGACACCAGTAAGAACTTGCCACTCGAGCAGCCAGCTGGACCCTCTCTGCCACCATCACTGGCTCTGCCCGCACTTCATCTCTGCTGAATACAGAGCCGCTAGAGTCACTAATTTGCTGTGTTGTCTCCAACTAACCTTGCATCAAAACTTCCAGAGCCAACGCCCAGGTGGGAGGATCTGATTGCCCTTACTTGGGTCACCTTCCTGGGCTCTGCTGTCCTGGGGTTGTAAAGGGAAGACCTGCTCCCCAACTCCTGCCCATTTTTCACAGTGGAAGTTTGAACTGTCCTGTCTAATTTGGGATCCTTTCCAAATAGAAAGTGTGTTTGGATGCCGGATAGCTGAAGACATAGTACATGATGTTCAATTTCATTTCTACAAATATGAGCACATAACATGACATCTTCTGTTCGTTGAATCTGCCAGCATAAAAAGAGTGAAAAGCTCAACACTGTCTTGGGATTGGAAAATGTGTGTCCCCTCCATTCACTGTTGGCAGGATAAAACCTTTCTGGAAGGCAGCTATGCTCACCACTATACCACCAACGCCGCACTGGATAAAGCCTTTCTGGAGGTCAGCTTGACAATAGGTGTCAAAATATGACGTGTGCGGGGCGCCTGGGTGGCTCAGTGGGTTAAGCCTCTGCCTTCGGCTCAGGTCATGATCCCAGGGTCCTGGGATAGAGCCCTGCATCGGGCTCTCTGCTTAGCAGGGAGCCTGCTTCCTCCTCTCTCTCTGCCTGCTTCTCTGCCTACTTGTGATCTCTGTCTGTCAAATAAATAAATAAAATCTTAAAAAAAAAAAAAAAGAAAAAAGACCATCTGGGTGCTCCAATTAGGAATTCTTTTCCAACCCTGCTCTGGCCAAACTGGGGTAGGTTGACTTTGGGGCCCCATGGGGACCAATAAACACAGAATGGTGGGAGGGGCCAGATTGGGAGGGAGGTCATATGTCCCACTAAGGAGGTCCCATGTTATTTAGATATATTGTTGCCAAATAATCAATATGCTATAATGATGGCTACCTTACTAGGTATCCAATAACAAAAAAAATGAGCCCCTGTTGGATTGAAGCCTACCCTTCAGGGCTGGGGACGGGTTGTAAGTTGACTTCCACTCTGGTAACATTAGCATCGTGACTGAGAGGTGCCAAGAGAGCCTGCAGAAGATAAGGAGGGGTAGTTAAGTGAAGAGGCTTGAGGAAATGTGTTTGAGACAGAGGGAAGAGGTTGAGCAAAGGCCCAATTGTCTAGATTGCCCGAGGGTGTGAGGGGAAGACCAAGACTTTCCATAGTGCTGGGGGGCTGGAGGGCAACTCTACTGCAAGCAGATTAGAGAGAATCGTAGTTTAGTGGACTCAGTGGAAACCACCTTTGAGATTACAGCTAAACTGCACTGATTGCATTTTGAATTTCAGCTCCATGTTAGTGGGAAAAGAAGTGGCAACCAGGTGAGGGGAAGGGGCAATGTTCAATGGTGAGAAGCCTGAGCCCCTGTCTAGTGGTGCTAAACCAAGGAAGTCAGATCTGCTGATGGGCTCAGCCCTAATTTCTCTGAATCACATGATGAACTAGGATTCCATGTGGCTTGCTTAAACTGGAGAGGAGAGCTTAGGTATTGGGGTCATATTCAGGCTAAGTCTCCAGTATAAAGAAGCAGCGTGGTAAACTTCCACTGGCCGTTGACTTTCAGTTTAACAAATTAAAAAAAGTGAGGTTTGTTAGCATCTGTTGTGTGCCAGCCACGTAGGACAGTAAAAGTAAAGAATGATATTCCGGAAAGCAGTCAGCAGGACAGTCACATGGACAAGTGCTGTTGGTAGATAAGATCAAAGGTTATTTACAGCAGCTAGGAGAAAACCTGATCTTCATCAAATCAAATCCGGATCTGTCTTTGGTTAAATACCTGGCCCTAATTTAAGTGGCTCCGTGTCTTAGTTTGGGTCGTCCTTAGACAGAGCCTACAACAAAGACCTGGGTGCAGGTAGTACATTTGGGAGGTGATCCAGAAAGCAGGAGTGAGGGAGTAGATTAGGAAGAGGGAGACAGGGCAGTAGAGATATCCAGAAAAAGGTACATTATTGAACTGGTTATGGAGGGCAAATGCGGCTACATTTCTCTGGGAACTCTCTGAAGAGCCCCATTAGGTACACCTTAGAGTTGTCTGTCCAGAGGATGAGAGGCCTGGGAGTTATCCAGTGGCTGGTATCTCCCACTGGTTGAAGGTTGCCTCTGTTGGGGGAGAAGGAGTTGTTAATTTAAATTTCCCTCTGGCGAGAGAAAACCCTCAGGCAGAAAAGCATAAGGGGTAAAGAGCAGGCATTTGAAGTGGGGGATGGTCACAACAAAGCGGCTTACACAGTTTATAGTGGTGGCAGGAATTGGAGATGGGCTCCAGGCATACAATGTGTGGAGTGAAAAGCTTTTCCTATGCTCAATTTCCTTCTAAAGCCATTTATTCATTCAACCAAACATTTATCAGAAACATGGTCAATGCTGGGCATCTAGGGTCAGCAAAACAGACCCAGTCTCTGCCTTAAGCGCTGACAGTCTTTTACGGATTTGGAGCAAGTAGGATGGTGCTAGGAACATCTACGTCCAAAATGGAGGAGTGCTAAAAATAAATAAGTAAACAAATAAATAAATAAGAAGCAGCATGGGAAAACTAATGAAGGGCTAACTTCTTCTTCTTCTTCCTTTTTTTTTTTTAAGATTTTATTTATTTATTTGACACACAGAGAGACATCACAAGTAGGAAGAGAGAGAGGGGGACACAGGCTCCCCGCTGAGCAGAGAGCCCAATGTGGGACTCGATCCCAGGACCCTGAGATCATGACCCAAGCTGAAGACAGAAGCTTAACCCATTGAGCCACCCAGGCACCCTAATGGAGGGCTACCTTCTAAGTCCATTTGATATTTAGGGAGACCACAGCCCCCAAGACCCTCCCTACCACCTAAAAACAAGCAAGCAAGCAAACTTGTTACATAATGGCTGGATATTATGAGAAAAGCGATGTCAAAGTGCTTGAAGTTCTACTAAAAGCTATTCCTTTCTTTTGTCCCTCCGTCACCCATGATTTTCATATTTGAAAAAAACTCAGATATGTTTGCAAAGGGTTGAGGGACATCGCATTCACGCTAAAGTATGAATGATCGATCAGATTGCTTTCTTCCTAGTGTCTAGATGAGTTCAAGACAAAGTGAAGAATGGGTATTTTGACTAGGAGGTGGGAATGTAGGTGATTTGGAGGCCAGTGCAGAGCACCCTGGGTGGAGGTTGGGGGTGGTCACCATAAAGGCCCTGTTTACTTGACGTTGGAGGCTCTGGCAGAGACATTTACTCTGAAATGTGAGGTAAGGTGGGGTTTATGTTTTAAAGAGGTGAAGGGCTTTCCCCTCCCTGATTTCTCCCTTATGCAGTAACCAGGACTCAGGCTAAAGGTCAGCAAAGGACAATCTAGAGAGAGGAGATCACAGACCAGTAGATTTTGAGATGAAGGAAGCCCAACGATGTACCTTTTTTTTTTTTTTTCTGCACTATTTCTTTTTTAATTGAACCAACATTTAAAAACAGGATTCCCAAGTTCTCTTTAAAAAGTTAGATGAGGGGTGCCTTCGGCTCAGGTTATGACCCCGGGGTCCTGGGATCCAGCCCCACATCAGGCTCCCTGCTCCATGGGAAGCCTGCTTCTCCCTCTCTCACTCTCCCTGCTTGTGTTCCTTCTCTCACTGTGTCTCTCTCTGTCAAAAAAAAAAAAAAAAAAAAAAAGATGATCTGGGCCCTCATTTTTGCATGGAAACAACTGGATCAGCTGAGTAGCAGCCACCTCCTTTAGAAAGATGTTGATTTGCAGTTTGCCATGGTCCCCACCATTTCTTATCATCTCCCCAACAGAGTCAAGTCATTTGAAGTATTATTTGGTCAACACCATGACTGAAACACCATGATTCTTTACTTACTGATATGACCTGTCTTGGTCCCTGTGATATTTGTGGGTCTGTGACCTTTTGTTTAGAGGTCAAGTCTTGGGGCTTTGAAACAAACTTGGATTTGAAATGGATACATTTTAAAGGCACTGAATTGAAAATTAAAGGAACTATTGCATGCTTAGAGCAATACTTGAAACATAGCAGCTATTATCAGCATCTGCGTGTGGAAAATGCAAGAGGGCAGGCAAAAATCGTGTTAATTTCATTCTTTCCCAGCGCCTAGCAGTGCCTAGCATACAGGAGTAACTATTTGTTGAATGAATGAATGATGGTAGAGTTCAGCGGGGATTTAAAGGTAGGTCTGCAAAGGAAGGTAATTCTGAGTATACCGTTTCATTTCAAGTCCAAGGTGCCACCTGGAAGACAAGCCTTCCGGGATGTGCCAGACTCTGTGATGGCGTTCGGGTATGCACGCAAGCAGTCCAGGTCCCTCGGGAGCCTGGCAGGGTTGGGTTGCTCAGGACGGGTCAGGGCCACGTCCATCACTTCTTCCAGCGTCTGGTAAGGGGCGGCAACCTGATCTCCGCACCTTGCCAAGGCCTTCGCCTTCAGATCAGAAGACGGAGACCCACCCACGGGGTCCACCCCCGGGCACGAGCCCAGCGCTGCCCGCCGCGCCAGGACCGTGCCCACACTAGACATGGCCTTTCTCGGACTTCACAAAGCCCGACCGCCTCGGAGCCGCCAGTCATCTGGTCTGGCTGGAGGGGAACTTCCATTCCCACAGTCAACATGGCAGCCACCACGGCTTCAGCGCGGGTCGGGCGGCGCCGAGAGGCGGTCATGTGAGAGGCCCAGCTGGGCGGATCGCGCGCGCGCGCCCGCCCGCCCCGCCGGCAGCCGCTTGCTCGCTGGCTCTCTCGGCAGTGCACTGTGGTGTGTGGGGCGTCCAGCACCCCGGCCCCCTGAGGCGCGGCGCGGCGCGGCGGGATGCGGCGGCGGCCGTGGCGGGGCCGCGGGCCGGGCGGGCGGGCTCGGTGATGAGCGTCGGCGGCCGCCGCCATGTCCAAGGTAACGGCGCCCGGGCCCGGGCCGCCGCCACCGGCGGCGGCGGGCGGGAAGGAGAAGCGCTCCTTCAGCAAGCGGCTGTTCCGGAGCGGCCGCGCGGGCGGCGGCGGCGGCGCGGGGGTCCCTGCGGGGCCCGGGCCGGCTGCGCCCGCCTCGCCCTCGTCGGCGCGCTCGGTGGGCAGCTTCATGAGCCGCGTCCTCAAGACGCTGTCCACGCTCTCGCACCTTAGCTCCGAGGGCGCCGCCCCGGACCGCGGCGGCCTCCGCAGCTGCTTCCCGCCCGGGCCGGCCGCCGCGCCCACGCCGCCGCCGTGCCCGCCGCCGCCCGCCTCGCCCGCGCCGCCCGCCTCCGCCGCGGAGCCGGTGCCCGGGGTGGCGGGGCTCCGGAACCACGGCAACACGTGCTTCATGAACGCCACGCTGCAGTGTCTCAGCAACACCGAGCTCTTCGCCGAGTACCTGGCGCTCGGCCAGTACCGGGCGGGGCGGCCCGAGCCCTCGCCTGACCCCGAGCAGCCTGTGGGCCGCGGCACGCAGGGCCAGGGCGAGGTCACCGAGCAGCTGGCGCACCTGGTGCGGGCCCTCTGGACCCTGGAGTACACCCCGCAGCACAGCCGCGACTTCAAGGTGAGCCCCGCCGCGTCCCCGCCCCCAGGAAGGGTCCCTGCACCCCGCGTCCCTGGGGCACTGGCTCCCGAAGTCTTGCATTCCTCCTTTTCCTGGCGGTGCGGCGGGCTGACCAGCGCCCAGGTCTAAAAGGGTGTGGACCCGGAGTCTGGGACCGTTACCGCCCTTAGTAAGGGAGACGCACCTGTTCATTCATCGTGTATTTATTAAGGGGTTACTATGTGCCTGGCCATGAACAAGACCGGCTGTCTTCATGGAGCTTACATTCTTGGGGAGGCGAGTGTTGAGCCTGGCTTCAAATCCTCGTTCTTTCACTTACTAACAGTGTGACCTCAGGCAGGTTACTCAACCTCTCTGTGCCAGTTTCCTCATCTGGTATCCACGTCATAGGTGGTTGTGAGCAGCAGACAGGTTGATAGGTTAGGTTGAATCCAGTGAGGTTACCCATTTTTGACTGTTTTTGACTTCCAGGTTGGCACTTTTAAAGGGTTCAACCTGGGATGTCAGTCACTTCCGTTGTACATAGTACCATGTGTATTTGCCGCGTTTATTGTTCTTATTATTTTTATTTTTTTATTTTTCTTTACTTTTTTTTAAAGATTTATTTATTTTTTTATTTATTTGACAGACAGAAATCACAAGTAGGCAGAGGCAGGCAGAGAGAGAGGGGGGAAGCAGGCTCTCCGCTGAGCAGAGAGCCCGATGTGGGGCTCGATCTCAGGACCCTGAGATGATGACCTGAGCCGAAGGCAGAGGCATTAACCCACTGAGCCACCCAGGCGCCCCTATTGTTCTTATTATTGAAGATTTCAGAAAGGTAAGGTGATATCAGATAGTGGTTCCAAGAAAGTAAAATCTAGTGATGGGATTGATGTGTGGGCAGGCTACTTTAAATGGGGAGGGGGGCAGGGTTAGGGTGACCTCTTGGCAGTGGTGACATTTGAACTGAGGCTTGAGTAACCAGGGAGAACCAGCCTTGAGGAATCAGGGGGAATTGCTTCCCAGGTGTAAGGAAAGCGTGAAAGCACGAGAGCCTGGTGCGCTTTAACAGTGTAGCTCTGGGATCTGCAAACTTTCTGTAAAGGGCATATAGTAAATGGTCAAGATGCAAAATCAAGGCTGTTATGTAGGTACTTATATAACAAGAGAAAACAAATTTCCACAAATTTCTCATTGACTAAAATAAAAATATGACTAACAGTACTTTGAAATACAGGTCTAATGAGAGAAATGGGATTCTTTTTTGGAAGGAATGACATTTAGCTTAATTGGAGTTCAAAATTAGTGTTCCCTGTCATCAAATTGATTACAAATATTTGGAGTGCCTGGGTCGCTCAGTCATTACCCCTGCCTTCGGCTCAGGTCGTGATCCCAGGGTCCTGGGATTAAGCCCCGCATTGGGCTCCCTGCTTGGCAGAAAGCCTGCTTCTCCCTGTCACGCTTCCCCTGCTTGTTTTCCCTCTCTCCCTTTCTCTATCTCTAGCAAATAAATAAAATCTTTAAAAAAGAAAAGCAAAAATTTAGCTCTACAAACCGTTCTTAGCTCACAGGCCATACAGAAACAGGCAGTGGGCTAGGTAACAGCCCTTGGGTCGGTGTTTGCTGTCTGCTGGTGCCCTTAGAGCTAGATGAGAGCTTCTTGGTGGGCTGAGCCAGTTTGTGTAGAGCCATTTAGGCTGCGCTAGGGAAATGGGCTCTTATCCTGGGAAAAAAAGAGGAGAAGATGATTTGAAATCGTATGAGGGATATTTTGAGATGGGACATGAATATGGTGTTAAATAGAATGAAATCACATGGTGAGCAAGTTAATTCCTTTTCCATTCTACTCGTCCTGATTATGGCCACGAAAAGGTCTTAGCTTGGTGGTAGCCTGACTTTAAGACCTCCTACTCACTCCCCTACCTTTCTGTTTTCTTTTTTTTAACCGAACAAACTAAGTTTGGAGGCCTTGGCAGGTATCAGTAGCTAGGATTTAATAAGGTTGTGTTTTCATCGTGTTTGTTTTTATGCTTGTATTCTGTTTGTGGCAAATGGTACTGGTTTTCCATTGATCCTGTGAAGTATCTTTTAAAATTTATTTAAGTTAAATGATTTTAGTAAAATACAAAATGATAATCTGAGGATTCAGCACTTGGTTGAGGACCCACCTTGTTGAGGAATAGTACCCCCCCCCTTTTTAAGAGTTAATTTATTTATTTGGTAGACAGAGATCCCAAGCAGGCAGAGAGGCAGGCAGAGAGAGAGGGGGAGGCAGGCTTCCCAGTGAGCAGAGAGCCTGATGCGGGGCTCGATCCCAGGACCCTGAGATCATGACCTGAGCCAAAGGCAGAGGCTTAACCCACTGAGCCACCCAGGCGCCCCTACCTGTCCCCTTTTAAGACATTTTACTTATATTTATTAATGTTCTCTTTTTCTCAAAAAGAAAAAGTGATTGCTGTTTGGTCTTGGAAATTTGAGTGAAAGTACTGGACAGGGATAGGGACTGGAAAAAAAAAAAATGAGTTCCATGTCAGAGATCTCAAAATAAGAAAGTAGGAGAGAGTGGCAACCAACCAGCTACTGTAAGTCTTTTTCCTTCTCTTTTTTTTTTCTGCTTATAGTTGCCTGCCCATCAGTAGCCACAGCAGTTGCAAACTTTTCAAGGTCAGAGACCAGTGTTTTAAGTTTGTTTTTCTACTCTTTCCAAAATGTAAAAATCAATCTCTACAGCATTTTTGTATGTGAACATTTCCATTGCATTTTAAGAGTTTTTTTTTTTTTTTAAATCCATTAAAAAGCTGTGAACAGAAATGGGTCAATAATTCTAGAAGTGCAGAGGCTGATTTATAAGCATGCTTTGGCAAAGTTCAACAGATTCTTCGAGTTCCTATTTTTAAAACATATAATCTTCTGAACCTGTAGTAGCTTTCACATTGCATTCATTAACTCACTTCCCGTTTATTGACAGTTTACTCCATCAGTTAGGAATGCATTCAGCACGAGAAAGAGGAAGCCCTAATGATGATGTCTTAAGCAATAAAGATGTTGAATTGGCTTACACAGTATGTCTGGAGGTTCATGTTCTAGTGTGGTACAGTGGCTTAAAGGGCCTAACAGGGACTCAGACCATTTCTGCGTTTCCGCTCTGTTGTCCTTTGCTATTTTGTCCCTATTACATCTTTGGCTTTTTAGCCTTAATGTTTGTCAAGGCAGGAAGTCACTGGGAAAATAAAAGTTCTTCCAGAAGCGCCCCCTCAGCAGGCTTCTGCTGACATCTCGGTGACTTACCACCATGTCCACTGGCCACCTCTGGCTGCCATGGAGGCTGGAAGGTGGATGTTTGTGTTTCCCTTCCTAAAGGAGGGATTTGCCTCAGAGGCGGCCTGCCAGAGTGTGAGGCACTTCGATTTTGGGGGGACACTGTACCTGCCTGTGAAGATCCGAGTCCAGTGAGACCTGGTATGTTCCCCAGGACATCGCTTCTTACAGTTTCATGTGCCCATTTTCACGTGGGCATCTTGTTACCAAGCTGTTCTGGGGTTGGCGGAGCTGGGGTCGGGTCTGAGATTCTGCATTTCTGTCAGTTCCCAGGTGGTGCTGATGCTGCCCGTCTAGGGATCACTGTTGGTCCAGGGCACAAGTAAAGGGTCACAGCGCAGTGATCTGCAGGATGAATAGAAATTAGCCGGGCAGAGAAGGGGTGGAGGTGGCATGAAAGGGCCTGTGATTTGGGGGGAACAGTGAGACATTTGGTGGCTGGTTATGCCATGCAGAACGATGGGGGTGCAGAAAATTTGGAAGAAGAGTGTTGTAAGTGGAGTGTGAATGGCTTTGTAGGCTGTGTTGGTTTGGACATCATCCTGTAGAAGCTGAGAACCCAGGGCTGATTCTTAAGCAGGAGAGTGATAGATCAGACTTCTTCCTTTTTAACCTTTTTGCCCCTGGATTAGGTAAATCTGGTGACACTGTGGAGGATTACTTTTTTCTCCCCAAAATATTTTATTACAGCCAGATTTGATGGGCGTTATTTTGAGCATAAAGTAAGCTGAGTTCAACACCTATGGGGGGACGCGAGGCATACCTGTTACCCCGGCCCCTTGCCTGTTTGTGACAGATGTTGGTGTTCGATGTGGATGCTCTTTTCCTGAGCTCACGTTCAGCCTTAGAATCCTGCTCAGTTCTGGGCTTCAGTGAGCCGCTACCAGTTCATTGGAGTTGGCAGAGAAGATAAAACCAATTTGCCCTCTTGAAAGTTTGCCTTGAGGTTTCGAAAAGCACTTAGTATGTCTTTGAGTGTGCTTTTAACTGTCTTAAAGTTACTAATGATTTTCTTTGTAAGTTTTTCTATTGGAATTCTTCCTTGGTTTCTAACCACATTGATTTTTGTGAAATTTAGGAGCTTGCCAGGTAAACGGATTTTTGGTTTTGGATGAGCAAGATGGTTGTTAAGGTAGGACTTTAATTTCCCAGAATGAAATGGATTGACTGGCCCAACCTTGCTGTAAGAAATTTCTTTAAGAAATTTCTCTGGCTGTCACTTCTCTTTTTAAGCAGGTATTTTTCTCCTCTTTGAGCAGGGTTTTCAACCAGGGCTGTTTTGCCTTGTTCCCCAACCCCTTTATTCCTGGGTACATTTGGCCTGTCTGGAGACATACTTGGTTGCCACAACTGGGTTGGGCGTGCTATGGGCTCTGCTCCCCTCAGTGAGGGGTTATCTAGCCCAAAATGTCAGTAAGGCGAAGATTGAGAAACACTCTGTTGGAGGAATGTTTTGAGCCCCCTTAGGGTGTTTTTCTTACTAGCCCAGACTTTAGAAGGTTACCTTGTTACTTTTTCTCATCTGTGTGTTTGGTGTTTGCAGCAGCACTAAGATAAAATTTGGACTTCACTGGCAGGTCCTTGGATCACTGTCTTAGTAAAAACAATGAGAGAAAACAAATCATTCTGAAATCCAAATAAGCAATATGCTGTTTTTAGAGGAAATGAGCTTATTGTCTTCACTAGTAGGATACTAGCATTCA